GATTTCTCCACCATTTAAAAATTAAAAAATATTTATTTAGGGATTCCTGGGTGGCTCAGCTGGTGAAAAGCCTGTCTTTGGCTCAGGTCATGATCCCAGAGTCCTAAGATCCAGCCCCACATCTAGCTTCTTGCTCAGAGGGGAGTCTACTTCTCCCTCTGCCTCTACTGCAGTTCATGCCCGTGCTCTCTCCTCCTCTCTCAATGAAAAATAATATCTTTAAAAACCTTATTTATTTGTTTATAAATTTTTCAAGAAGGCTCCTTGCCTAAAGGGGCTCAAACCCAGACCCAAGATCAACAGTCTCATGCCCCGCCAACTGAGCCAGCCTCAAAACCCCCTACATGTTCAAGCAGTTTTTGTCTCTTGCGTTATAAACCTATTCTTTAGGTGGGTGCACTTTGAGAAGTCTTATGCTTTCCTGCAGATGAAACTCTTTGGTCGTGCACACCACTCTGTTCCTTCGATTATATTGTTTGCTGTGAGATATACCTCTTCTGATATTCATGTGACTGCTCAAGCTCTCCTATGTCCCCCACTGTAGAGTTAGTGTTTTCTCGTCCTGCACTCCATCCTTTGGATGGAGTATTTTCACTGCCCTTCATTGTGGTGGAGCCTATGTTCCTTTCTGATGTCCATCCTGTTCCTTGATTTTATAAGTAAACTGGACGTAGTTGGCTGACAGTTGAGACCCCTGTCAATGAGATGCATCATATGTGTTCTCATCCTGTTTTGTACATCTCCATCACCTGGACAGTATTCCAGAAATAGTCTCCAGGGTAGTTAGAGATTCATGATGCAAAGCCTCGTCACACCCAGAATGTCAATCAAAGACAGTGCATGATTTGTGGAAGCTAACTAAGCAGACAGCTGAATGAGACTCAGATATTTCAGCAGGTTCCTGATGCATGAGCAACATAAGCTTACTATTTCATGCCCCAATTTTGTGAATAACTAACTGATAGAGCAAGGACAAGATTCAGATTGGAATAAATCTGGACTGGTTACCCACGCTCACCAGGATGAACTCTGAATGCCTGACTCAGAAGGGAGGACCATCTCATGAGAAATAAATGGAGATCCTTGGAGGATTTTCCAAAGCCGTGGCAGAAAGTCAGCAATGACCATGAGGACATACTCTCTGGGGACAGTGCAGTGTATGTTGTGTGGATCTGCTCTGCTATATAGATCTTAGGCTATTTTGCAGGTTAGGGTTTATGTTAGTGTTTTCAGACAAGAGCCCCTGAGTGAACACCCCAGTTTGTTTTTAAGTGATATGGAGATAACAGACTCTGCTCATCGTTGTGTAATTTGAACAGTGCTGGTCCCAGGGTAGAAAGGAGAAGTCCCTCTTTACATAGGATCCACATCTAGAGTGAGAATACATGTCTGGTGAGGAGAGTTTTCTTAAGGATGATAACCAACCCCAGAGGTTTTAACTTTCTGCTTCTGTGCTGCTGAAACTGGCCCTCCTATTTGGATCAGGCAGTCTCAAAGAAGTGTTGCCAGAATGGAAATACAGGCAAATCGTCACTGGAAAAGAGTGGGGAGGCCAGAAGGGGGAGCCCCCACACTGCACCCTCCAGGGCAAGAATGGCCAGTCACAGACCCCACAGAAGAATCATCCACAGCACAGAAGCCTCTGTTACAGGCCCCAACAGAGAATGCCCCAAGAGCTCAACACCAGGTGGAAGGAGCATTTGCACTCCACTGGGGAATTCCTTTTAATATTCCTGTCCTGGAGCAGCTTGGGTGGCTCAGTGGTTAAGTGTCACTTTTGGCGTGATCCTGGAGACCCGGGATTGAGTCCCATTTCGGGCTCTCTGCATGGAGCCTGCTTCTCCCTCTGCCTGTGTCTCTGCCTCTCTCTCTATCTCTGTTTCTCATGAATGAATAAATAAAATCTTAAAAAAAATTCCTATCCTGTAGGTGGTCTGCTCCATGGATTCCTCTGTAGATAGCTTCTGACATAATTGTAGTTCCTCATTCACAATGATTCAAATACCAATGTTGACTTGTAGTTTTTTATTTTTTTTAAGATTTTTTAAAAATTTTATTTACTCATGAGAGATACAGAGCAAGAGAGAGAGGCAGAGACACAGGCAGAGGGAGAAGCAGGCTCCACGCAGGGAGCCCGATGCGGGACTCGATCCTGGATCTCCAGGATCGCGCTGTGGGCTGCAGGCGGCGCTAAACCGCTGCGCCACCGGGGCTGCCCGACTTGTAGTTTTTTCTTATGTGTGTAGTCACTGATTTACCTTTTAAAGGATTGTGCTCTTGCAAAATATATGAAAGGGACGGAGAGTTGGCTGTAAGTTGTGCACACCTGTGTCTTAGCCTGCTCCCCCCACCAACAGAGAACGCGAGGACCCACGCACAGAGTTGCCTCCCAGGCCAGCCAACACTGCAGTGCCCAGGGCAGCACACATGCTTTTAATGTCTCATGGTGTGGCCTCAGTTCAACCCCACTGTGGTTCTGAGCACAACGCAGGAAAGCAGAGAAATGTGGTAAGAAAATATGACTCTTCTCCTGGCCCCTGATGGCGGGTCTTCTTCCTACCTAAGAGCCCCCCTTATGGAGTTCTCTTTTATTCTTGCAACAGTGCCCACTCATCTAGTTGTGAGTGGACCTCAATGCCAACGTGTGACGTATTTGCTATGGTGGTTCAAGAGCAACTTCTGTGGCTACCTCAGGTCAGGGAAGACCCAGGCTTGCTCCATTCTACTGGAGTCCCATCTCACTAAAGTGTATGGGGAATAGACATAGGTTACAGGCAGATGTGTGTTCTTTTCAGGAAGAACTGTCCTTAGGAGTCACCAAAGGAAAGTCCCTGAGAGTATTGTCTGTGTTCCAGATGGTGGTTTCCACCCTGATCAAAATCTTGCAAAATTGCCTTATACCACCAACTGGATTACCTGGGATTTTTCCCTTCTTTGCCTTACAGAGTCAAACTTAATTCTGCCTCCTTAAATAATAAACATCTGTTCTTAAACTCTGTATGGACCCAAATAACCTTACACACATGTTTCTTCAGATTCCTTTACATTTATTCAATGTCATGATTGAAAATTGATCTGTATTACCTTTTGTAGTTCCAATTTGTGGATTTTTACTGCCATACCATATCCACCGCATACATATGCTACAGATATTCATTCTTTGTGGTTGTGATTTCTGTGGTTTGTTTCTAAAATGACCAGCATCCCTGTCAGTATTCTCACTAGTATATTATTGTTCATAGACACACATTGCGATATGGAATTCATAGCTGTGGGCCCCAGCTGCCTGTCTCTCCCTTTTAGCTGATGATTGTTTTCTACTCCCCAGATTGGCTGAAGCCATTTCTAGGACTCCCAGAAATGTAATGGGGCTCTGACTACACAATAAGAGCATCTGCAGCTGCTTTTTGTCGTTAATTTTCTCTTTTGTCTACACAGTGGATGTACCAGGATTGGGCATCACAGATTTCCTGACACTGTGGCATAACACTGAGGTAGAAGTGACCACAACCTTGAAAATAGAAAGACATAAATATACACATTGGTGGGTGTTATCAGCAGGTGTACTGTAGTTGGTTCTTATTCTCTTGGGGAGACCACCCCAATCATCACCTCCTAACTCTGCATTCAGGGAATTCACACAGCCATCTAAAGTGGGCTATGAAGGGGTAGTTTCATGAAAAATCAGGAAGTACAACAGGATTTTTGAACAAATGGTAATTTCTTGAAGCCTGTTTACAAACTCAGCATCTGGCTCTCACTTCAAACACCAGTGTGTTCATTCCCAGTGATGATATTTCTGGAGAATTGATATGATTTATCATGTGATGAACCAGGAATGTCTTGAGAGGTCCAGATAGTGTTTTACAGAATGGTTTTCCATATATCTGTTCCAAATGGGACTTGGGAGGAGGGGCAAGATGGCAGAAGAGTAGGGTCCCCCAAGTCACCTGTCCCCACCAAATTACCTAGATAACCTTCAAATCATCCTGAAAATCTACGAATTCGGCCTGAGATTTAAAGAGAGAACAGCTGGAATGCTACAGTGAGAAGAGTTCACGCTTCTATCAAGGTAGGAAGACCGGGAAAAAAGAAATAAAGAAACAAAAGGCATCCAAGGGGGAGGGGCCCCGCGAGGAGCCGAGCTAAGGCCCAGGCGAGTGCCCCCAGGACAGGAAAGCTCCCTCCCGGAGAAGCAGGAGCTGCACCAACCTTCCTGGCAGAAAGGCTCTCGCAGGGAGTTAGAGCAGGACCCCAGGAGGGGCGGGGATGCCCTCAGGCTCCCTGGGACACTAATAGACACCTGCGCCCCGGAGAGAGTGCGCGGAGCTCCCTAAGGGCTGCAGCGGGCACGGCTGGACCTGGAGCAGCTCCGACCGGCTCAGGCGGCGGCTCCGCGGAGGGGGCTGCCCGGCCGGGAGCACGAATCCAACAGCGCAGGCTCCGGAGCACAGGGCGCCGGGGACACAGCCCAGGATCCGGCCTCCCCCCCGGACAGGCAGAGGCCGGGAGGGCCCAGGACCGCAAGGACGCTCCTGCCCCGAGCTGAGCAGATCAGCGGCCCCGCCCCCGGAGGCTCCAGGCCCTGCAGACGGAGAGCTCTGTAGTTCCTGTGGGAGCTGAATCCTGGGCTCCAGAGCTGGCCGCTGCCACTGTGGTTGTTCCTCCTGGGGCCTCACGGGGTAAACAACCCCCACTGAGCCCTGCACCAGGCAGGGGGCAGAGCAGCTCCCCCAAGTGCAAATGGGACTTGGTGTTCTACCATTTATTTAGTTATTTAAAACAGAATCTGTTTTCTGAGCCAAAGAGCGCACACACCAGGGAATGCGGTAAATAAAATAGAGAAAGTTACATTTCATGAAAGTGGAGCAGAGCATGAAGTGGACCCAGAGATATCCTGGAGGATGTAGTCTCATGTCATAGGTTGAGGAAAGATGGAAGCCAGTCCAGAAAAAGTCAAGGAAATGCCAGGAAGGAGAAATGCTGGGGAGTGAAATGACTACAGTTTATTTGCATATGAGGCACTACAGCACCAATCCAGACTTTTTCTGCGCCCAAACCATGTTTATACACAGAATATTCTCAGCAGACTGTTTCTCTAGCTTATGCCCAGATTTTCTTCCAGAACCTCTTGATATCCTCAATTCATTTCCAATGTTCTACCTCACTGAACAGTCGGTCTTGTCTCACTTACAGTTAAGTCCTGGCTGCACCTTGGGGTCTTCTCTGACTATGCTGAGCTTGAAAGAGCAGCACCCCAAGAACCATCAGGACCAAGGCGGACATGCCGAACCGGATGAGATTCTGCACCGTATAATCTTGGCTGTTTGAGGCTAGAGGTTGTGGACAAGGAAGTTGTGGTGGTTAGGGAAGACTGCAAGTACCCTGGGATCCCTGCATGTCCATCCTCTTGCATTTATTGCACCATGTGATCCTGTGAGCCCATTGCCCCACACAGAAATCCTCATCACTCATCCATTTGTGAGTCTGACTTGTGATGTGATGATCTGACGGTATCAGCTAGTCCTGAGAGTCAGAAATAGAGCTTGTGGTTGAGGAGACAGGAAGGCTTAAGAGTCCCTTCTCTCATGTCCAGGGAGTCCCTGAAACTAGCTAATGCCATCTCAGTCCCTTTAGTCAGTAACTCCAGCTTCTCACCATCCATCTAATTAGGAGGGGAAAAGAATCATCAGAGGCTACATTTCGTCCTTGGAATGAGGATCCTGGAGGATGGAGGGGTTGGGTCTATCTTTTCATTCCTGCACATCACCCAACCAACTCCTTCTGGTCCCTGGCTTGTGATTATATATTTACACTTCACTTTCCATCTTCAACTATTACATTCAGAAGAGGTAAAAGGTACCAAGAGAGAGGAATTTCCTGAAGCTTCTTCCAGAGAAGTCAGGAACATCAAATTTCAGGTCTGAATTAGTCTTTTAACTCTGGGATAATTCAGAATTTAACGGGGAGAACAAAGTCTCAGATCTGAAGAGAATTTTGTCAATGTCTTAATCAAGAATGGATGATCAACTTAGCTGCAGGTATGACTTACAGAGATTCCCCAGCCTCATGACCTGGAAATGGGAGGCACCCTTTCCTCTGGCTCTACATATCGGGGTCCTGTTTCCACAGGTGCCATTGTAGTCTTCCTTTCTAGATATCAGCACCAAGGACAGAGACAGAGGCCACACCTCTGTGCACCTTGATTTGGCTCCTTCATGCTTTTTCTTTTTATAAAAAAATCTCATTTTATTTTATTTAAGATTGTATTCATCCATTCATGAGAGACACACACACACACAGGGAGAGAGAAGCAGAGAGAGAAGTAGTCTCCATGCAGGGAGCCTTATGTGGGACTCAATCCCTGGTCTCCAGATCAGACCCTGGGCTGAAGGCGGCGCTAAACTGCTGAGCCACCTGGACTGCCCTCCTTCGTGCTTTTCCTCTCCCACTGACAACCAATGGATCCCCCATGAGCTCAGTGCTGCTGCAGATGTGATGCCCCACCCTTCAAGCGCCCTCTCCTGGCCCCAGGTCCTGTGGAACCACTGCACTGTAAACATATAAAGTGCAGAGAATCAGCAAAGTTCAGCCTAGGCCTGGGAAGGCTGTGTTTCCTGCAGGCTAAGAAGACTTTAACCCAGCAGACATGAAGATTGTCCATGGGGTGAGGGCCTGCAGTCTCCAAATGCTGCTTGGAACAAGAAGCAGGCTGTGGGGCTGTGGTGGCTTTCTCTGTTCTCCTCACCCCACCGTACCTCCTCACAGTTCCTTTATAGTCTTCAGTCCCCTCCCCACACTCGCCTGGCTCTGCCTCTTTTCCTCTGGTGTAGGTAAGACATGAACATGGCATGGACTCTGTTTTTTTTTTTATTCCTGATAAGAGGTATCATCCAGTGGTTGGGCTCCTTAATTCCCTCTTCCATCCCAGCCCAGATCTATGCAAGGACAGGCCAATGACCCGAGCATCTTGGCCATCAAAGGACAAATGAGTGGACCTCTCACCTGAGACAAGGAGCTCCAGGGAGTCACTGGGACTTGACAACAGGTAGGGGGAGGAGTTGCGTGAGCTGTAGCACCTGTAGGTCCCCTGGTGGTCTGAGGTCACAGGATTCAGGGTGAAGTTGACCTCATACAGTGTAGCTGTATCCTGCAGATGAAGGTGCTGGGGAGGAGCAAGGGACCCCTCCTTGGACAGGTGGAAGGTATTGAACCAGATCTCAGAGCGACACCGCAGGGTCACATTCTCTCCCCAGGATACTGAAGGCCCAGGCTGGGCTGAGAGGGATGGTTTTGGGTATATTCCTGGGGAAAAGGAAGGTCGTGACGTGTAGAGGCCTGCCTCCACACACGCTCTTGACCCAGCTGGGGGACCACCTTCATCTCTCCAGAGACTCTGAGACCCCTCTCAGCTCCTCTTGTCTCTCTGAGTGGATGTCCTTCATCTCCATGACCCTCACCGGCCATTTTTCAGCCCCTGTCCCTAGAACATGGCCCCATCTCAGCCTGTGCTCCTGACCCTCTCCCCGGACCCCATCACCCAGGGGTGACAGTGGCCCCTGAGCCTTCAGCAGACAGGACATGGGGCAGGGGGCACCTCACCTGTGATCAGGATGTCCAGAGGGGCACTGGGTGCTGACCATGTGGAGGAGAGGTTGTGTCCACTGTAGCACCTGTACCGGCCCCCGTGGGTGTGGCTCACAGTGTCCAGGGGGAAGTCGGGGCTGGGTTGACCATCCAGATGCTGGGCCGGTCTGAGCTCCTCATCCTTGGTCAGAGCGAATCTATTAAAGCCAGCTTCTGAGCGACACTGCAGGGTCAGGTTGTCTCCAGAATGAACCAGTGAGCCCGGCTGGGCCATGAGTGAGGGCTCCCTGTAGGCACCTGCATGGAAGGGCACAGTGGCACTGAGGGGACCCAGACCCTGCATTGGGCCCAAGGCCTACATGAAGCTACCATGGGTCCCTCCCAAGGCCATCAACCTGTAGTTCTGGCCCTAGGAGGCCAGTGTTACCCACCCTGCATCACTCCCAGGGCTCCATTGGGCATATGGCTTAGGTCAGTCATATGGGCCCAGGAGAAAGATGGGGTACAGCAGGGGCTGCCTCACCTGTGACCTGAAGGTGTAGGGGGTCACTGGGGTGTGACCATGAATACGGGTACAACTGTTCAGAAATGTAGCATCTGTAGGTCCCCCCATGGGAGGTGTTCACAGGGCCCACAGGGAAGAGTGCCCGGTACCTCTCACGAAGGATCGTCAATTCCAGGCGTTGGGGCACATCAGCTCCCTGCTCCTTCAGCAGATGGAATGAGTACCTTGGGTAACGTGAACTACAGGAGAGGGACATGTTCACTCCTGAGGCCACCACAGGGCCTGGGTTAGCTGAGAGGGTGGGTGCCTCAAATACTCCTGAGAGAGAAGGAGGGAGCTATGTTACAGCGGACAGTCAACCCATGTACTCCATGTACTCTGTGCTGTGAGCAAGGGGTCCCCTGAGACCACATTCCATTCTCTTCAGCCTGGAGGAGGGGCCCCAGAGGTCGGGTCAGCACCTGCCCTTACCTGTCACCACCAGGGTCAGGAAGTCACTCAGCTGTGACAAGCTCTTCCTGCTCTGATATGCACACTGGTATCGCCCTGCCTCATGTGTGCTCATGAATTCAATGGAGTAACTGGCTTTGGTTTTGGAATCCTGGGAGATCTCCATGGAAAAATGTCTAGAGACCCTCTCTTTAAACAGGTAATAGCCATCAGCCTGCAGAGACGTCTGACACCAGAGGGTCACAGGGCTCCCCTTGGTGGCCATGAAGCCTGGGTCAGCCCAAATAGAGGGCTTGGGGAGGGTCCCTGGAAAGGAATCAGATGCATAGTTGCAAAGGTGCCATTCACGCCTTATTTTCCCCCCTGCCAACCCAAGGCCCCTCCCACACTGGTCATCATAATCCCTGACCCTCTGCCCCCAGCTATCCTGGGGTTATGGGCAAAAGTAGGATGTCTGGGGAGGACTCACCTGCCTGCACCTGGTCCCATGGTCCCCAACACAGCCCTGGAAGAGAGTGCCTGTGAATGGGTCCCTCCACCCACACGTAGTTGCTCCAGGCCTGGGTGGGCCCCTGGGCACTGGGGTCACATTTGGGGCTCAGGACACTCCTCCCCCCGAAGTTCTGCCCCCCTGGCAGATCTTCCCTGACCTGGGTTTCTCAGGAACCAGGACCTGGGACAGGGAGAAGACAACCCCATCCCTTCTCTCTTCCAGAGATCTTACCCAGGCAAAGAAGGGCAGTGAAGTTCAGGGTTCTGGCTCTGCCTTCCATGGTCCCCAGAGGTTCAGACAGCTTATAAAGTCCCCAGAGCCTGCAGGATGGACAGATGCATGGGGTGTAACATGGCCCAGGCCCTTTTTCAGTCACAGGGCCCTCATGACCAGCCTCACAGGAAGGGGAACAGCCCACTCAGGGTCTTGCTCTTCTCTCCCTGAAGGGTGGCCCAACAGCAGCAGGCCTTGGAGCCTTGCAGACCAGATGTGAGTTTCCCCAGACCCCATTCCCTCTGCCTCTTCCTCATGGAGCCCACGTCCAGAGAGTGGCCATCGTACCAGGTCTCCAGGCTGGGGCAGTAGAGCAGGGTCTGGGAGCCAGTCCAATGTCAGTTCCAGTTCTGCCCCTGCCTATCACAGAATCTGCATGACCCGGGTGAAACACTTCCTTTTCCTGAGTTTCTGTAAATGCAAATTTTCTTCCTTCCTTCCATGAGGCTGCTGATCAAGCAGTGTTTAGCGAGCAGTGACCACATCTAGTCATGTCCCCACGCACTGGAGATTCATTGTTGAGGTGACAGACTCTTTCCCTGAACTCCTGGGGGCTGTGATTAGTGACAACAGACAATACAAACGATTGACAATGGGAAATTGGCCATTGGTTTGGTAAGCTATAGAGAAGGAGAGAAAGCAAAGACAGTGTCTCAGACACAGGTAGCCATCTAGCAAGCTTAGTCACAGGATTGTGGGGGACCCTCTAGGGTGAAGAGTCCAAGACAAGATGGGGCGAGCATAAGAGTGTTGAGGGGTAGTGTCTTTGGGCTGGCTGGTGAACTCTCCCAGAACTGTGTCCTCAGGGAGAGGGGGATATGCTGGTGTTCCTGGATTTTACCTTCAGGAAGCAGGAAAATTGTCAGGAAGGTCATATGTGAGCAGATTACTGCATTGAGGAGCTGACCACTGTGGAGCACAGGTTTTGTAGGAGGAAGGTGTGTACACTCTGCAGTGATCAATCTCTTATTTCCAAATGAAATCTTAACGCTCTGACTTTAATCTGATGAGTATGTGATGAGGTGGTTGGCCCCTAAGTGGTGCTTCTGGGTTCTTTTGAGACATTCACATAATCCCTGTAACACAAATACTATCACAGTTGGTGGGAAGAGCCAGTGAGAGGATTCTGTAGTTTTCATGGCCTGAGAGGTTTGAAAGGAGTCTGCTCTGTTCAGACTGGTTCTGCGAGATACATAGTTTGTATGTGTGTCTGGGGAGGGGAGGGTGTGAACTGGGATGATTTTGCTTTTGGGGAGGAGCAGGCCCTGCTGGGCTGGAGAAATTAGTTCAGTCGGGTCGTCAGCACGTGGATGGGCAGGTGTAGATATTGGGAGTAATTAGAGGAAGGTGGAGAAAGGTGGGCAGGTTTTGTGCAGGGAGAAGCAGTGACAGGTAGCGTTGGAGCCATGAGAGTAATCAGGTCTCAGGAACTGAGTTCCTGCAGGAGGGTCAAGGGATGAGGCTGATGTGATGGCTCCAAAAGGATGTCTCCAGTCTTCCACTGAGCCTGACTGTGGTGATGGTCGCATTCATGGAACGAGGGCTCCTGGGCAGAACTGTGTGGAGTCGTCATCGTGTGTCATGTAGAAGGGTGTGAAGCACGGAGAGCTCTCTCATGCCCTGCCTTGGTTGACCAGAGGAGCCAGTGGGGCTATCCAGGATGAGAGACCCCCTGAGACAGATGGGAAATATGTTACAGACCGTTAACTGTCTCCCAGAGAGAACTACCATCTCTGACCTCTGAGCCTGGGTTTGTGGTTTGTTTCTCTCACTCACTTCCTCTTTCTGACTCTCTGTTTCTGTGACTGCAGCACCTTCTCTCCAGAAAAACCTGAGTCATTCCTGCCTCCTCTCTGCATCTTGTCCCACAGCCATTAGCTCTTCTCGATTCTGTTTCCATGCTTTGTGCAAAGCACTAGCAGGAAGCAGTTAATGCTTGTTTATCCATCATCGTTGGTGGACCTGGATTGTTGCCGCCTTTTGTTTCTTGTTAGTTGTTCTGTGAACATACTTGCTTAAGTGTCTGCTTGATTTCCTGGGTGCAATTCTTTCCCTTGTGATAAGAGCACTTAACATGAGATCTACCCTCTTTACAGATTCTGTGTCAGGATTGTATGTTTTGCTGTAGGCACGTAGTTGTATGTGATTCTCTAGAATTGTCTATCTTGCAGAACTACAACTTACTCCTAGCAGTGGAATATCTTGGTTATGTGGTCAATCTCGCTTTAAGTTTTTAGGATCTGTCAAACCTCTTTCCAAAGGGGAGCTGGTTCTGCCCCATGACCTCGACACGATTCCCTCTCCATGGGGTCCAAGCAAAGACCAGATCCTTGAGTATGACGTAGGTACCAATCAAGTGTAATTCTAAAGTCACCCTCTGAGAGGGTTGACCCTCCTCTCTGGAATAACTCTCAAGTCTATATTGGTGGGTTGCATCCCAGTTCTGATCCTAGCTTCATGATATGTTCAGTAACTGACATAAATCCTCCTTAAATGATTTTTTTAGAAAGATTTTATTTTTTAAATTATGAGATATACACAGAGAGAGGCAGAGATGTAAGCAGAGGAAGAAATAGGCTCCCTGTGGAGAACCTGAAATGAGTATAGGTCCCAGGCCCAGGATCACAACCTGAGCCAAAGGCAGACGTTAATGACTGAGCCAGTCAGGCATCACTCTCCTTTTTATTCTTTCTTTTTAAATCAATTTTAATTTTAATTTTTTGTATTTTTTTACTGGAGTTCAATTTGCCAACATATACTATAACACCCAGTGCTCATCCCATCAAGTCCTTCTTAAATTCTTTTTTTTTAAAGTCCTTCTTAAATTCTTAACTACATATTGTATTTACTAACTTGCATGGAAACTAGAGATATACTGTCTACCCATGAAGACAAAAGGACCCATGACTCACCCAGTGCTTGGGAGGAACAACACGCCCACATTCCAGAAGATTCTTGCACAAAACCATCCAATATGGCTTTATTTGTAACCACCAACACGGATTTCATGAAATTCTTTTCTTTCCTTTTTTTTTTCTGGGTTTCCATTAGATACATTCCTAAGTAATACATGATGTCTTTTTTACCTTTGGTGAGTGGAATATTCATAAACACATGGTTTTTCACCTACATTTTCACTATCATGTTTGAACATAAATGGACATGAGCATTTGCAATTTTTTTCAGTGTGTTTTTATAGACATAGTGTATATGGTATTGTATATCCTACATAGAATACATAGTTTCCACTTTTCCTCTTTTATAGTTTGTGCATGTAATCTAAAAATGATTTTTGGTCAATATGCATAACTCACGTGAATGTTCTTGTGATGGATCCTGGTGCATATGCACACATTTTCTCTAAAGTTTATATTTAAAGATCACAGCTGTGTGTCTCACTGTAACTAGAATAGTATAATCCCCTCTCTCAGTTTCATGTAACTTGCATCCTACAAGAAATGCATTAGGTGTGTGTGCTCACGCCCCCTTCCATGAATGATATTACACTTTTCTGTTTACACCTTATCTGGATGTGATGGAACTTCAGGTGTGATTTACTGATCCTGTGGCATAAGTGGAAGTAGAAAGAATCATCCCACGTAAGATGCAGGGAATCCCTGGTGTACTTTGGGGCTACCAGTGTGGCATTAAAGTGTCCTATGTTGGCTTGTATTTGCACATCACTCCCCATCAGGGACCTTACAGTGGCTCCTTGTGGTTGCCAATGAAGGGAGGCGATGCACCAGAGATACTGGCCAGTGCCAAGAATCAGTGTTTTGCACAGTGGGTTTCTCAGAGGCAGTACAACCCTGTCATCTGGTGGAAGTGAAGGATAGTGGATGCATAGAGGGTGTTGGAGCATTTTGTGGATTTTTAATGCCAATTTGTGAATCATTAAAACAACCTGCATTATCTGACCTGAAGATATAGAGACCTCTTCGTGTACCTCAAGTGTGTAGTGATTAGAAGTGGAGAAAAATGTGTTACCTGAAATTGTCCCAGAGCATACAGTGTATGGAGATGTGGACTAAAATCTGCCATGTGGGTATAAGCTGGACTCACTGAAATGGGGAAAGACAAGAGCCAGTAAAGACAACTCAGCAATGGTAGAGAAGGTGCGTCCAGTTTAATGACAGAAGGGTGCATCCATTGCCCCTGCACATGAGCCATGACTCCTCCACTTCACAATGACCTGCTGTCAGTTTACACAGAACATGCCCTACATGCTCCTCTAGAACCTTCTGGGCACAGGAGATGTATTTCCCAGGCTCTGCGACTTTGATTGTTGCGTTGTTCACTCTTGTGTTTACCTGCTGGCTGCATCTTGGGTTCTTCTCTGACTGTACCAGGACTCAAAGAGGAGAATCCCGAGGACCACCAGCATCACAGTAGCCATGCCCATTCGGATGAGATTCTCCACTGTGTAATCCTTGGGGTCAGAGGCTAAGAATGAGGACAGAAAGATCACAGAAGTCAGGGCAGACTCAAATCATTTGGGATCTTGGATGTCCACCCAGGGTACCTGCCTCCCCTTGACAAGACTTCACCCTCCACACCAGCCCTATAACTGAGTTTTCTGCTAGTTACCACTGCTGGGATCTGACTTGGTTTGTGATGAGCTGATGTTGTCAGATGCTTCTGAGAACCATAAAACCATGAGGAAAAATGAGGTCCTGATGAGACTCAAATTTGTGCCCTGACTGAGTGTTCTTGTACCTTCCTGCATTTCTCATGATATAACTTTATAGACTGTAATGAACCCTTTCTCTGCTATAGAAAGATGCCTCTGTTCTCATTGGATTCTTTCAGTCTCCCAGTGTTTTGTGAATTCAGACTTTGCTTCTGAGTCCCTTTGGACTCTTCCTGCATCCCTTAGCTCAGAATTTAGTGGTAAAATCATCTCTCAGTACAGAAGTATTTGGGCTCTTCTATTCTCTGTGTTCATTCTGAGAATGAAAGCTACTTCCTTTTGATAGGAGACCTTGTATTTTTCAACGCTTTAGGATCCAGTGTCCATGGATAAGGGGTTGGTCTTAAACATACAGGAAATAAATAGGTATTTTTGAATGTATTGAGAGAAAGAGAATTCAATGCATACATTGTAAATGTGTTAGTTATTTGACATATCATAGGTAGGAAGGAGGCAGGTCTGTTCTGAACAATGTCAGAGTGAAGGTTGCTTTTGGAGAAGACATTTAAGTTGATTCCTGAATTGGAGAAGGAGGCTGAGGGGAGTGACCTGAAGACCGAGACTAGCTGCATTACAGGCTGCAGGAAGAGCAGGTCCCTAGGAAGATCTAAACATGCTTTTCAGTATGGAATGAAGTCACATCTGTGGGTACAGGAGTATCCAGAGGAAAATAGGAAACTGGGATATATGAGCCTGCTGCAATGGAGACAGGCCAGATGTGACAGGATAGATGAGGGAACTCCATTATCATCTTCATCAGCATCACCATCACCACTGTCAACATCACCACCATCACCATCACCATCATCACCACCACCACCACATCATCATCCTCACTATCATTATCATCACCACCACCATCATTATCATCATCATTGTCCTCTTCCTCATCTCATTTTCTCTGTCACTCACGAAGAACTCTGAAAACTGCTATAAGATTTCAAGGAAGAACACAAGTCACTTGATTTTTATCTTCAAAGACAACCTCTCTCACCTCCAATCCTTAAGGAACAGAGAAAATCGTCATTGTTATAAAAGTGATGAGCACAAACTTAGGTAATCCCACAAAAAAAATCCCACAAACAAATTTAACCCATTTTCAGATAAAAAACAAAAAGATAAAAGAGTATATATGAATTCTAATTATAAATCTCCATGTGAAAATTCAAAATAAGCTTATATATTCAGAAAGTATGAATAAAGTATAGACATTATTCATTGAGTTAATATCCAAATGTTTGATACCAAGAAGTCTTTTAAATGTATCTCACTAGGGCTACAAATTTATTTATTTATTTATTTATTTATTTATTTATTTATTTATTTATTTAACTTAAAATGTTCTAGTAGCCACATTGACAAAGTAAAAAGAAACAGGTGAATTAATCTTAATATATCTTTGATTCAACCCAATACACCCCAAACATCATTTTAACATGCAATCAATACAAAACGTACTAAGGGAAATTCTGCACACATCCCTCCTCCCCACCCCAAGTCTTTACACTCCAGAGTGTTTCTTGCATTTACAATGCGGCTCAGCTTGGACTGGCTCAGTAACAGCCTGAGGACAGTGTAGCTCTGGGCTGTCCTGGGAGAGGGGCTCACTAACATCCCCAGGAGGCAGTGGGCGGCCAACCCGAAACTAGAATCAATCTTTCTCAGCCCCAAAAAGTGGCTCCCGGGGATCCCCAGCATCTTCTCACGGACTTGTTCAAAGAGGTGGGAAGGAAATGAGGTGGCCTGTGAGACTACCTGTGGGGCCACTTGGCTGAGCGGACCTACTCCCTCGGCCCCTCCCCCACCCCTCCCCTCTGGGTTCCAGGGAAGCAGGGGCCGCCCCAGATACTGGGGAAGCTTCTGGCAAATACCAGCTGAGTCACAGCTTCTGCGCGTCTGTGAGAGCCCCTGGCTGCCCCAGCTCTCCAAAGAGAGGAATGTCTCCCACCTGTGACCCCAGACACCTTGCTCTGATTGGCTTTCATTTTCCTTGGTTCCTTCATCACCTTGCCCTTCCCTCCCTCTCTTACTCCTCTCCCTCCTCTCCTCTGGAGATTGTGAGCGAATGACAAGGGGACGCAGTAGTGCTGGGTGGCTAGAGCCTCTGGAGCCGCCCTTGAAGGGAGCTAAGGAGGATGCCACCAGCACCTAGTGGAGCCTTTGCTGGGGGCTGGGAGTCAGCTTTTCCTCCCTTGGCCATGGAAGCCCAGAGCACGGGGCAGGTGGGCTTCCACCCAGCTCCCCGGAAGTGTGAGAGCCCAGCTTCCTTTGAGTTGCTGGCATTGTTTTGGTTGGGTACATACACATTTTACTTGTTTAATTTTATACCCGATGTGGGGGCTCAAGGACAGGTCCTGATGATAGAAATCCAATGACTGGATGAGCCTTCAAGAGGCAGGCAGAGCTGACCCACCGGGGTTCCTATGCCAGGCTGGGCCCTGGTGCCCAAAACGGGGCAGTGGCTACAAATTTGAAAGAATAAGTCAGGAAATGTACAAGCCCAGAAAAAATTCCATTCCTAATTCGTATTAAGAAGAGCATATTTTTTTCCTAATAAAATCTGAACATAACAGAAAAATGGACTGAAATAGGTCAGTATTGCTACATACATAAAAATACAGGGTTTAAAAATGAGTTTAACTTAAAATAATTCAGTAATTTGGGTATCACTTTAGATGTTTTCTTAAAACAACACTTAGCTTTGTGTTAACATCTTGTCATTATTATATATATTTTTTGCCTTAAATAAGACTGGTGCATAATTTGGAAATAAACAGGTAAGTTTCAATGTTTTTGCAGTTGATATAATGATTATCAGTAAATTAAAGGAGATCAGTTGCAAAGCAATGGGAAGGTGGAGAATCAAAACTAAGTTAATAGAATAAAATGAATATAACTGGGGATCACTGGGTGGTTCAGCGGTTTAGCGTCTGCCTTTGGCTCGGAATGTGATCCTGGAATCCTGAGATCAAGTCCCACATTGGGCTCCCTGTATGGAGCCTGCTTTTCCCTCTGCCTGTGTCTCTGCCTCTCTCTCTCTCTCTCTCTCTCTCTCTCTCTCTCTCTCTGTCTCTCATGAATAAATAAATAAAATCTTTTTAAAAAAAGAATATAACTAAATCAATATCACTGTATTAGAACAGATTATTAGAACTTAACTGTTTTTTAGAAAGTATAAAGAAATAAAAAATCATACTTATAAGTCAAGTAGTTGAACAATTTTAAGCTTTGAGAGTAGACAATTTCATGAGTGAAACTGCAGAGCATATCTGCATCCTTTATGAACCACATTTGTAAGCATGTTTTATGAAAAACACTTTATTTTTTAAAAAATATTTTATTTATTTATTCATAGAGACACAGCTAGAGAGAGAGAGGCAGAGACACAGGCAGAGGGAGAAGCAGGCTCCATGCGGGGAGCCCCACATGGGATTCGATCCCAGGTCTTCAGGATCACGCCCGGGGCTGAAGGCGGCGCTAAACCACTGAGCCACCGGGACTGCCAGAAAAACACTTTATAATCACAAATTATTCTCTATAAAGAATATATGCATTTCATATAAACCCAATGAAATTGGAGATTTTAAAGTCCTAAATCCTCATAATGTAAATTTGTATTTTGTATCTGCAAGGCTCACTTCGAACGTTCTGAGAAGCAGTCAGGGTGGTTGACACTGGACAGGTTTCCACACACAATGCAGAGCAGACACGAATTGCACACAGACACACTGCACAGCATCCAAGGGGACTCCTGTGTGCTCTGTCTGTGTGAACCTACCTTTGATGTCAGGTGGGCACTGAGGGGCATGGAGGCCCCCAGGGGAGCACAGGGGGCTGTGGAGCGGTGCCCATAGGCAGGGAGGCATCTCTCTAGGAATGTGTCTGGTAAGGGCTCCACCTGCACTCTCAGAAAACCCCACCTTGGTCTCAGCAGCTCCAGGCCTGATGTGAGAGGGCTCAGAGACCTCCTCAGGTGTGGGTGAGGGGCTCCATACTCAGGGTCTTTGGAAATTGGGAGGGAATGTGGACCATCATTACAACTGTCCCAGACTCCCCTCCTCCATCATTCCATATCCTGCCTGTGCTCTGAGTCAGGCCTGGACACCAAGTGCTGCAAAACTGCCCCTCTTCATCCTCAATCGCACACGTTCTCCAAACCTGGCCTAGGAGTTGAGGTGTGCTGACAAGGGGCAGGTGGCTTTTAGAAGATTGCACGGTTTTGTACGGGATGAGGAGGAGCTGAGATGCTCAATCAGCGGGCATTTCCTAATCTGTGCTGTCTCCATCCTACTGAGAATACTTCTTGTTCTGCTAAGACCCCGGCCAGAGGGACAAAATCATATGCATCTGCATTTCCCTGGGCTTCTTACCCCTTCCCAGGTCCTGGGAGAGGCCGGGCAGTGAAGGTGAGAAATGATCTTAGTGCAGGCCGCCCCCTTTTCAGACTGGGAATGCCTTTCTCAGAAGTTCCACCTCCCAGGAGACAGAAGCACCTGCAGACTGTCCCATATCATTGAACCTGCCCCTCCCGGGAGCATCTACCCCGCCTCTGCCCCTGACTAGTAGCCAGTGCCCAGCATCTGAGGGAGAGACACTAGGAAATCATGGGGGGGGGGGTTTGCTCTGCCTTGTCACCTGTCTGATCTCATTTACTCTCAGGGTCCTGGTGTTTAGGCCCCTGCCTCTTCCTCCTCAGCCCTGTGTAGATTGCTTAGATGTGGATTCCCAGGCGGGGCAGGTGTCCCACCTATTTCCACACTCTCTGCGTGGACCCTCCTCTGTGGAACCGCTGCTTGGGATCCCTTAATTGTATCCTGTCTCAGACTTCCTGTAGACAGGGCACTGAGCTGACCTTTTCTGCTTAGAGAGGACAGGGACAACAGGGACTCCTCACCTAGGACCAGGGACCTGCCCCAAATCACTATCTCAGGGAGCACCGAGACACCCTCTCCTGGTGAGCACCCCTCCATACCTCATAATCCAAGGACAGGGAGGTGAGGAGGTAGGCTCCTGAGCTCCCCACTTCAGCCTGGCTGCTCTTCCCCCAGCTGGGGCCCCAGTCTGTCCCTCTGCCATCCTCTTCCGCCGGCCTCAGAGCTCCTGGAGCCCTGTGGTGGCCTGCCATCCCTGCCTGACTCCCAGCCCTCCTCTTGAGAGACTGGGAGAAATGATAACTCCCAGAACAGAAGCCCCTGTAACTCACCAGCTGGTGAGCTGGGTCCTGGGGAGTGTGGATGGGGGCTGAATCTCTAGAGAATCCTGGGGTAAAGGACAGTACTGGTGGGGGGCTGGAGCTTCTCCTAGAGACCCTGTCTCTGCTCACACTCTTCTCCTTCATCTGCCCTGTGGCCCAGCCTAGAGCCGTGGAGACATGTGGACCCTAGGTATCTCTGCTGGACTCTCAGCCCCCCTGAGACACAAGATTGTTTGAGTATCTGAGGGGGCATTAGATCCTCTGATGGGGCTCTCAAACTGACCAGGAGTAGTGTGTGCTCCTTCTGAGCAAAGGGACCCCTGTGGCACCCTGATGACAAGTGGTCTTGTGGATGGATTTTTGGGCTGACCTAGGAGTCTGCATCTTACCCAAACTTCTCTTATACTTGCCCCCTGAACCCCTGAAGATCTTCTGGCTGTCCACCCCGGAGAAGGTCAAATTGTGGGCAGGGGTGTGAGGGCCCCTGTTGGCTTTCTTTGAGTTGAGGGATAGATCTCCCTTTGAATGACCTTCCTTCAGAGCCCCCCTTTTCCCAACCCAGCCCAGGTAACCATTGAGGAAAGACCTGAATAGATCAACAGGACATAGAGGGGACAGGGTTGGGCTTCTCACCTGAGACCAACAGCTCCAGGGGGTCACTGGAGAGTGACCACACTTGGGGGGTGTTGCTGTAATAACCATAGCATCTGAACGACCACTTGAGGCTGGGGTCCACGGGGCCCACAGGGAACAGGCCCTGGAACACCTCACTGGGGGCTCGCTGGGAGTCCTGAGTCCAGGACGTTTGGTCTTCTCCTTCCTTCATCAGGACGAACCTGTGGAATCCTGTCTGTGAACCACACTGGAGGGTCACATTCCCTCCTGAGGGCACAACAGGGCTGGGTAGGGCTGAGAGGTTGGGTTTGCCATGGAATCCTAGGAGAGGGGAGGGGCTGTGTTAAATGGGGCTCAGATCCCCCCACATGATCCCCAGGCCTTGGCTGTGAGACGGCAACACTCTAAGAGCAGATCTTCTTCCTGAGGTCTGGGACCCTGAGTGGGCTCTCACCTGTCACCACCAGCTCTAAGGGGTCACTGTAATCTGACTGGTCAGTGGCGCTTCTATAGTAGCAGCAATATCGTCCTGCATATTGCTCTGTCATGTACATGATGGAGAACTTGGCCTTGTCCTTGGGTTCCAGTGCAGGCTGTCTCTCCCAAGGCCATAACTTCCCCTCTTTATGCAGGAGGTACTCCTGGGCCTTCAGGCTCCCCTGACACCTGATGGCCACAGGCATCCCCCACCGGATCACAGAACCTGGCTCAGTCCAGATGGTGGGTTTGGGGAGGGTCCCTGGAAGGAAACAGAGACTGGGTCACAAGATCCTCCCCACACCCAATTCCCAACTCAGCCCCAAACCCCCAGGTATCCCCCCTCTGTCAGCCCAGAGCTGCTGATCTCCATGCCTCCTGCCTGGTTGGTGGTTCCTGTTCCCAATGAGGAGGTGGGAGTGGGACCCCTGGGGACAGACTCACCTGCCTGCACTCGGGTCCTGGAGCTCACACTCAGCCCTGGAAGAGAGGTTTGCCCTGAATTCTGAGCAGAATCCCTTCTCATAAGCCTCCTGAGCCTGGGATCTTTGACAGACAAGGACCTGGCTGTGGGGTGGGTCCCTCCTAGACTAGGGGGTCCCGTCCTCTCCTCAGATCTCACCTAGACAGAGCATGGCCATCATGGTTGGGGTCATGGTGTCTTCTGTCTCTGGTTCAGCTGTGCAGATGGAGGAAACTCAGTGCCCACAGGACAGACAGACACACAGGGTGTGTCCCCTTGGGGACCAGTCTTCCTCATCATGGGGTTGTCACGTCAGCAACCCTACAAGAAGGAAAACACCCTGTTTTCCGGGGCCTAGCCTGGGTCTGAGGTCCATGATGGTGCAGCAAGTGGACTCTGACATGTCCTGTCCATGTGAGGAGACCTGCATATGTTCTTTCCTCCCAGAATCTCCTCCATAGGGTATCCTTCAACCTCAGCATATCTCTAGGGTCCTCACCATGGATGGGGTCCCCTGCCCCAGAGATGCTGCAGAAGACATGGGTTCCTGCTGTGCTGTGGCACTCATGTCAGCACAGACACATCTGTAACATCTCTGCTTGTTCAGGTCAAGGTCACTGTGGCAAAAAGCCTAGAAGAGAAATATAGGAAAGGAAACACATCCTCTCTCCTGGCCCCAGAGCAGGGTATTTCTTTCTATCACAGCCTGCATGGACTTCTCTATTTTCCTGGATTTTTCTATCACCTCCCATTCATGAGAATATGGCTGTGAATCCCTTTGAATCATCAATGTCCCATGTGATTGGGGGCAGAACTGTCCTCCCTGTTTTAAGTCCTACTTGTAAACTGTAGAGAGCAATGGGTATGTTAAAGTCCTGATTTGTTGGGGAAAATTGATGTATATTAAAATATTTTTTACTACCTATGACCCATGTGAATTGAACAGTAATGTAATCAGATATTTTCCCTCATTTTATTTTTATTTTTTATTTTATTTTAGAGAGAGAGAGCATGAGAGTTGTGTGAGGGCAGAAGGAGAAGAAGAGAGAGACTCCCAAGTGGGCTCCATGCCCAGCCCAGCAGGAGTTGGATGTGGGGCTGTACGTTGTGACTTCAAGATCATGGCCTCAGCTGAAAGCAAGAGTCAGACGTTTAACCTACTGAGCCACCCAGATGCCTCCCTTCCTACATTTTTAAAAGTTATTTTACATCTAAGTATGTGGGAGACTAAATGTGATGTTCTTCTCTTTAAGTATTCTTGTTGGGTGTTCATGCTAGCCCCTGAAAATGTGTGGGAATGTGTTTGTTCTATAAAAATATCTATACAAATGGTGTTTGTCAACCATAATTGTTTGGAGGAACTCACAGTAAAATATGCTGGACCTGGAGTTAGTTTTATAGGATGATTTTAATCTTTAGATATAGTTTAAGAGCCCAAAGATGATTCAGGTTTTCTACTTATTTTTGAGCTGGTTTTAGAATTGTTCTTGTGAAATTCACCCATTTATCCAAATTGGATAAAGTTCTTCATAAGGTTCACTTAAATCTCTTGTGAAAGGATTCTAAGATGGAACTGGAGGACATGAAATGCAGAATTTCCTGCTTGTATACTTAGCAGATGATGTTCAAGATCAGAGAGACTGATTTCTTGTAATTGCCTGATTTTACAGAAATTGAAACCTACCCCTTGACCCAGGAGCATCCATCCATCAAGGACTTTGCCCCAGACTCAAGACAAGAAATTGCTGCTTGGTCTCAAGCTGAGCTCCCTACTCCTTTAATTCCTCCCTAGAGGCATAGCTTGCTCCAAACCCTCAACAGACTTTATTTAGGTGACACCATAAAAGCCTGTGAGATTTGTATTTCATTACTGATGTGGGTTGTGGGTGTCTTTCTTTATTTCATTTTGAGTGTTGGTAGGATTTTATGCATTCTGGGAATACTCAATAATAAATATTTTTGGGTTTATTAATGTTATTGGACTGGGTGCTTATGTTCTCTTGCAAATTCGTGTGTTGAGGTCTTAACCCTCAGCCTGGTTATATTTGGTAATTAGGATTAAATGAAGTTCTAAGAGAGGTCTTGTATAAGTGTTCAGCTAATGTGAATCATCTATTTCTTATTCAAAGGGGAGGGTGAATTTGAAATGTGTTCAAATGATAAATTTAAATACCAATAATTAACAATAGGTTAACTACCAAATATGAGAAATGCACATATAACCACCAAATTGGTTGTCGGAATTATATAAAGGAAGTGAATGCTGAGCACCCAAGACTATTCTGGGTGTTGGAAGTGAAAGTAAGAGAATGCAGATGTGAATGCATGAAGAACCAATGCTTAAATAAAATGTTGATTATAATTTACAGGGGGATTCATTTCGTACTAACATTGAAAGATCAACTGACCAATCACAGATTGGATCAGAGCGTGCTCCTCAGAAAAAAAACAGATATACACTAACGATGAAATCTCATGAGAACAAAATTATTAAAGGGGATTTTATTTATTTTTTGGTATATTTCTTTTATTGGAGTTCCATTTGCCAACATATAGTGTAACACCCAGGGCTCATCCTGTTAAGTGCCTCCCTCAGTGCCCGTCACCCAGTCACCCCATCCCGCCACTCACCTCCCCTTCCACTACCCCTTGTTCATTTCCCAGAGTTAGGAGTCTGTCATGTTCTCTCACTCTCTCTGATATTTCTTGAGGGGGATTTTAAATTAGAAAAGGTTGGGATGCCTGGATGGCTCAGTGGTTGAGCGCCCACCTTTGGCCCAGGGCATGATCCTAGAGTCTTAAGATCGAGTCCCACATTGGGCGCCCTACATGGAGCCTGGTTCTCTCTCTGTCTGTGTCTCTGACTCTCTCTGTGTGTGTCTCTCATGAATGAATAAATAAAATCTTAAAAAAATAAATTAGAAAACATTGTTATTTTTATTTAAAATATTAGCTGATAGTCGTATAGATATTCAACAAAACTAAATGTAAAGCCACAATGTTTTCTTTTTTAAAATATTATTTTTTATGATTTTATTTATTTATTCATGAGAGACACACACACACACACAGAGGCAGAGACACAGAGGGAGAAGCAGGCTCCATGCAGGGAGCCCGACGTGGTACTCGATTCTGGGTCTCCAGGATCACACCCTAGGCCAAAGGCAGGCGCTAAACCGCTGAGCCACCCAGGCTGCCCCACAATGTTTTCATAAGGAAAAATAACTTAGTTTAAAATTATATTGAGGGATCCCTGGGTGGCGCAGCGGTTTGGCGCCTGCCTTTGGCCCAGGGCGAGATCCTGGAGACCCGGGATTAAATCCCACGTCAGGCTCCCGGTGCATGGAGCCTGCTTCTCCCTCTGCCTATGTCTCTGCCTCTCTCTCTCTCTCACTGTGTGCCTATCATAAATAAAAATAAAAAAAATTAAAATTATATTGACATCGCAGGGACATGTATGTATGTAATCACATATCCTTGAAATATATGCAGCATAAGGCTGTACATAAGCAGAGATTCAAATTCATATCTCCACAAGATTATAACCTTAACAAGTCTATTAATAAGATAGCTGAAGTGCACAGAAGCTGATTTTTATACAATAAATGCTTAATCGAATGAGTACAAATGTTAGAAAGCTTTTCATTACTTATATTACATAAATATGAAGGGAGTGATATGTGATACATTATATATAAAATGAAGGAACAAACAAATACTATGGTGTCACGTATATATCAACCAGGGGGGAATGCACATCTTAAGGCCCATATTGTCCCTAAAATGTTAAGCATTATTAGGCAAAATTAGAAGGACCTCCAATTACTTCCATTGCTCTCATAGGCAATGTGTCCCCTGGAAAAGCAACAATGTAATTAGCAATGAGCAATAGGAAGATCATGAAGGACTCTGATGACTGTGTGAAGGGGTCAAAATAGTAAGACATGCAATATGGTTTCAATTTATGAAGCATTCAGAAAAGGGAAGAAGAAAATGGATCATGAACACCTGGAGAATGTCATAATTAAAGCAGATACAGATAGCAGGATGTGAGAATAAGGGTTTCTACCATCATGGCCCTGATCATCCACGTTGACAAACAAAATTGCAGATACCTGTGCCTCATCTCTGAAGTAGCCCCACGTCTACACCGAGAACCTCCATCCCAGTTTAGATTCTGAGGAAGATGGGTCCTGACACAGAAACCTAGTTTTATTTCCTAATCACACACCCCAGGACACTGAAGTGTCTGTTCAGAGACCCAGCTTCTCCCCTGGGATGTGGCTCATTGTCTGAGCAGACTCGGGCAAAGCTCAGCAGGTAGAAAATGTATGCCATGAATAGGACCAGAAGCTGCTGCTATAGGAAGGTATAAACCCAAACCTGCTGTGTGGGTCATACCCTCATGAAACAGGCATGAGGGAAGATGAGGGACAGTCAAGGGCATCCAACAATGGCAGGAGGGACAGCATCACACATCATGGAGGATGAGTCCTGGACAGGGAACAGCCCAGATACTTCCTGGCCCCTAAACCATGTTTCCCTCTCTGTGTTCTCAGCAGACAGCTCAGCTAACAGGAGCTCCACGCTCTCTTCCAGATCCCCCTAGGCACATTACTTTCATGTCCAAAGCTCTGCCACAGGGAAGGGTGGGTTTGCTCCCTGTGTTTACCTCCTGGCTGCACCTGGGGTCCTTCTCTGGCTCTGCTGAGCCTCTAGTTGCAGAATGCCGAGAAACACCAGGACGAAGATAGCCATGCCCAAGTGGATGAGATTCTCCACTGTGCATGTAATCCTTGAGGTCAGAGGTTAGGATTAGGACAGAGAGGTCCCAGAGGTCAGGGTGGGCCCACATCACCCGGGATCCAGATGTCCTCCCAGGATATCTACCTCTCCCCGACAAGAAGGACTTCACCCTCCACACCAGCCCGAGAACTGAGACTTTCTCCTACTCACCAGTGCTGGGGTCTGACATATTTTGGGTGGGCTCACAGTGTCAGCTACTCCTGAGGGGAAATGGAAGCACATGGTGAGGAACTGGAGACCCCCATCCAGCCTGCCCTCTGCTCTGTGTTCTATATCCCTCCACTTGTCATCATCTCGTTTCTCTACAGTTCCTAAACTAGCCCTTCACTGCACTAGAGGGGTTCCTCTGCTCTCCCCAGTGGATGCCCTCAGTCTCCTTCTTTTCCTTGATTTCAGACTTGGCTT